AAGCGTCACTGCCCACGATGTGTTTGGTGCTGCAGAGCTTCGTCTTCAAGAGTGGCAACACTTCATCCTTGCTCTCAGGCGGTCCCGGTCAAACCGTAACGGAGAACGACAGTTTAACAATGCAACCTCCTGAACAAAAGAGATAGTCGGATCTGAGGCACGGGTACAAACGTCTATGTGATCGTCCAAAAGAAAGGGGTCGGCCGTAAAAAAAACCATCAAGTGCTCATTGGGGGAAGGGCACCTCAAACCGACCAAACGCAACAACAGAACCAACGACAAACACAAACAAACCTCCAAAGTAGAACCCGTCATGTCCTGTAAGCCGAGACAAGCGGGTCGTCCAGCGAACGAATCGTGACCGAGCGAACCTACAAGGAACCGGGTGGACCAATGAAGTACGTAGACGATGTACGCGAGTCGTAACCAGGATGAAACTGACCCCACCCCCCCCCCCCCCCCCCAAACACGAAAAAACCAGACCACATGTTACGGGCGGGGCTAACCCCCCCCCCGTTGACCCAACATGTTGTTCCGCTGAATTTTGGCCACTCACCAATGGCATGCACAAGTGTTTGGGTAGCGGCTCCAGCGCTTGGCGGTGGTGCGAAACCGGCAAGACCCTGCCGTCCGGTCTGGCTGGACCCACACGTGCATGTGTGCCTCATCAGAACAGGTTTGGGTTCTGATGTGATGTGAAAGGTCTTCCCCTCTGGCTGGACGCGGATACTCCAGGTGGACGAGGATCCCTGGAAGAGCGCTCCTCAGGCGGAAGGCTGGACGAGGGTCCGACCAAGTGTCGGAGATGCGCCGTGAGTTTCACATGAGGTGCGCCCAGACCATCCAGTCGCACTGGCCTATTGACCTACATTGGGGGTGGTTGAAATGGGGCGGCCGAATGTAAGCCGATCTTCGGGTCTAAAGTTTGGATTTCTACATTTCGGTCGTTAGGGTCGAAGGTCAACACTCAAGACACACGGGGCAAAACCAAGGGCCAACGTGGCCCTGCTCCTTTCAACGGCGAGACCTCTCAAGGTGAACGATAGAGTACAAAAGACCCAGAAAACAGACCGATGTTCGTGGTAATTATTGCTCACTGAATCTCCTTTCCAAAGCTCTGGTGGCCCGTAGCCCGTAGCTTTGGCCTTTTGACCTCTTGTACTCTTCAGGCACAACAACCACAGCCTCTGGGTGTCTCAGTCCACCGGCCGGGGTCGCCATACCACTTCGTCACATGCGGGCCAATTCTTTCTTGCGGGAGGCATAAACCAATGGCAGATCGATGGGTTGTCCCAGTGGATCGAAGAGATCAAGCTGGAGGCACCGCCTTCGCCTAGGAGCGCTCCTCCGGTCGGGCTTCGGTCGGGACCGGGCCCCCCCCCCCCCGCCCTGGAGGAGCGACCTCAAACGGTCGGTGATCCGGACCGGGGGTCAACTTATGTCCACCACAACCATGGTTGAGGAACTGGGGCTTGTGATTTCGTTGGTTGGCAGCTGCGGCAACATGGTTTGTGGTCCCAGAGTCCTCCAAGGACGGAGAAAAGCACAGAAGTCAGAGCTCAGCCAACAAAACCTCAGAATCTGTCAACCACTCCAGAGTAGAACCCAGAATCAATACGAAGAGCTTGCTTCAGAACACCTCCTCACTCCATCCACCCTCACCCTCCATCCACCCTGTGGCGCAGCTCGCAGCCAGGCCCATGCAGTTCAGATCGAAGCGTGGGCCAAAGAGATGGGGGCCACCACCGTGCAGGAGCCGCTCGGAACGAGCACTCTCTCCCGACCGACCTGGTGGGGACGGCGACCAGACCAGTCGCGTGCCACGATCGGTCTCTCCGGGAACCATGCGGGGCATGGGATGACAGAGAGCCGATATAAGACCTCACGGTACCAAAGGACGGGACACAGATGATGTTATGTCCCTTGCAGGGTTTTTCCATGGTTTTTCAGTGAGTCTCATTCTCAGGGACCTGTCCTAGCGAAAAGGACGTCTCGAACCAGTTTCTTGCGAGATTCTCCGGCCCTCACACGGGACAGATGGGAACCTTTGCTTCTCCGCCACTGCGGCAGTCACTTCGCTTCGACTTGGTCGCCCCTCCCGGACCATGAAGTTGGCCTTCGCACCGACCCGCACATCTGCACCGTGTCCGGTCGCCGTCCCACCACCGCGCTCCGCTGCGGCCGCTTCCGCCGTTCGCCATGGCCGTCAGGAGCTTCTGGAGCATTGGGAGGCGTTGGCCGCGGCGCTGCCGCTGCGACCGCTGGAAGCACGGAGGCCTCGAGAGATGAACGGGAAGACGCCACCAAGCGGTCTGGCCGGCAGATGTTTCTTTTTGGCAAGCTGAGATGTCAGTGCATGTTTGGCTGTCCCAAAGGTTTGAGCCGGAGAGTTTTGTTTCAATGTGACCCAACACCTGGGCCGAATTTCATCAGAGAGGGTGGAGATGTGTCGCTTCTCCGACCGGCGCGACCAGAAAGAACACGCACAGTTAACATCACAGTTTTCAACAGGGAGAAAAACACGGGTGTTTCGCCTCGGGGTGGGACCGGTTGGTTGTCCTTGAGAGTCATCGGTGCGATTCTTGGATTCGCACCATGTCAGGAGACGTCTACATGGAGTTGGTCACACCAAAATTCACGACTCCATTTTGCGGTTTTCGGGAGGTTGACCGCTCAGAGTGGACTGTAGGGGTAGGGATTTTTCATCCACCCACGGGCCTCACAAGTCTTCGTGGCCCTTGGCAGGTTGCAGAGGGAGGGCCTCAAATGGCTCGAGCGCCCGCAGTGCCATGCGCCCGCCAAGGCTGGCCACTCGCTCGCCGTTCCGCCGCTCGCCGTTCGCTTTCCCCGCGGTCGGGTCGATGCGGGGCTTTTGGAATGCAGATGTACTTCGTTGGAACAAACTTCGTTGGAGTAGATCGAAATTGATCGAAATTTCGTTTCTAATGGCGATGGCCTCTGGTCTGGAAGTCTTGGTCGATCTTGGGTTGAAAACCTTCAGCTTTCCTCTCCAGGTGGAAGAGACGGGCAAGAGGATCACCGCCAAGGAGGGGCGGGTCAACGATGCAGGTTGTTTTTGAAGCGTCTGGCTGTGTATAGCTTTAGCCTGAGACTGGGAAGCCCCCCCGCAGTTGATCAAGATCATTACTGTCCACTGTGTATTAAGACCCAACAAATGATGCAGATCAGCTTCTGGGTTGAAGCAGGTTTAATATGGTTTAATTTCTGGAACCAATCAACTGCAAGGTGCAAGGAGAGGGCCCTTGCAAGGTGGGGATGCCATTTTGGAGCAACTCGGCTCGGGCAGTGCACCTGATCTCGTTGATTTCATACATTCATGGATTTCCGGGTTTGGAAGCTGTACTGTTGAAGAGTTCTTGCACCAATCCTGAGTCACTCCTGACCAACAAATCAACATGGGTCCAACCACTAAAGGGAAGAGTGAGGGAATGTGGGTTTGGGTGGTCCCTTTTGGGTTTCTTCCATCCACAATCAGGTGTCACACCCGGCTGGCTTTTGCTGTGGCCTTTTCCGAACTGACTCAGATGCAGGCAGCCAAGCCGGCCGTGCTGGCCATGCCGGCTGTGCCTGCTGTGCCGGCGGCCCGAAGAGCACGATTGCGCCAAGGCACGATGAATTTGAGCACCTTCTTTGACTCAGATTGTTGACACTTAGTGGCGGTGTTCCTTTTTGGAGTTTCTATTATAAAACAGTTCAAGAGAGAAAGAAGCTGCCCTGGATCCATGGCTGAAGGTCTCCGAAGGCGGCTAGGGCGACAAGTCAAACTCTTTGGTTCTGGCTGTGCACGGTGCTCTGGAGGTTTGCTTCGATTTGAGTCCACCTGAGTCCACCTGATTTGGTGTTTTTAAAACGACTTTTTGAGGAGGCAGGAATCTCGATGGCGAGCAGCGATCGAAGTGGAAGGTGCTCCAGAATGTGAATGTTTTTCAGCTTCCCTCCCTCTCTCTTCCCTTCGTTATCTTTCTTCTTCCTCTCTATTTCTCTCCATGTTGGTAGAAATCAATGTTGCTGGAATTGGTTCAAACTCTTCAAGATCATCTTGGGTCGTGGAAGCCGGATGGAGGTGGGTCTTAGGTTGACCTTTGCTGGCCCAAAAATGATTCAACCACCACCCTAAAGATCCTAAAGTGCTTGTATTGGGCTGCTTGGGCTTCGCCACCGGAGTGTCTTCCCAGCCAAAGTGTGATGTGCTCGGGACTTTTCCGTCTGAAAACATCTGAAACCGTTCCGTCTGACGTGGATGACGAGGTCTGGTCGTGGGGTCTCGCCGGGGTCGGACCCGATGCCAGGCGACGAGGCGAAGCTGCATGCCTGACCGACCTGGGAGCCGAGGGGGAAGGTCAAGGGCTTCCAAAAGAGCGACATGTTCATAGGAATATACTCTAGATGATCCCTCGAATCAGATCAAAGGCGGGCTCAAGCCGTGGACCGTGATGAAAAACTGAATCTGCGTCTTGGTCGATGGAATGTGTATGGTTTGGGGATTTAAATATGTCGCGATGTACGGCTGGGCGCACTGATCTGACAGGAGCAATGCTCCAGATTTGGTTTGAGGAGGGTTCAACCAGCAAATGAACCAAGACACCAAAGCGCCCATCAGCCGATGCTATCGGGGTAAATGGAGGAAAGCGAGATGCGACCAGCCAAGTCTTTGGATTTCACTGGAGGCGAAACCAAGGTAATCGCTTTCAGCCACATTTTGGGCAGTATTAAAGACCAGCGGTGTGAACATGTTCCTCTTGCCAGACCAAACAGAGCCACATATGACTCCGAGATCAGTATATACTTATACAGTAGAAGACTGGCAGTTAGAATATAGAATCAATGAATTTAGCTACTAAATGACTTACCAACATGGAGAAGCCTGGTAGAGGCACTGCAGTTAGTACTCTAGGGTTGTCTCCTGGGGTGGAGGCCGAGGCTAGGTCAACTTCCAAATTCTATCGATACGCGTCACCTGCGTCACCGCTGTCACCCGCAGTCTTTGTAGGGCTCCAATTGCTGATGTCTAGGGGTGAGGTCTCCAAGTCTATGACTGGAGGATGGACTTCTTTGAAGGTGCGGTTCCGCCTGCATCAGGGTGTGCTGGATCGGGATGTGCCGCGGGACATTTTTTGTGTTGGTCGCGAACATGTGCCACATGTTCGAACAGGAACAAGAAGCCTCCTCTTCAGTGGAAGTTCGGAGGTTTTGCATCAAGTGCAACTCTCCAGTTCTCTCCCCCTCCTGCCAAAGTTCTCTCCCTTGCAGCTGTTTCCGGGCACTTGGTTCAACCGTGCCTAGCCGGTGTCTCACGGTTTCGCTGGCCCTCACGGCCCCTGACCTCGGAGGACGGAGGGTCCAATGACTTCAGCCACGACAGTGCCGCAGACGGCCTCATGACCTCGGACGCTCGGACGTTACAGCGCGCGGAGCGCCCGAGTCCAATGGGAGTGATCAAAAGGACCTGGTCTCGGTAAAGGAAGGAGGCGAGTTCCGGGATCCCACCAAGTCTGCGATGGAGAGGAATGTCTTGTTTTTGAAGCTATCTCGTCCATTCTCATCCACCTGGAAGGAGGAATGGAACCTCCAACTCGTGTCAAATACAGGAAATATGAAGGATCTAAAAGGCTCTGGAAACCGCGTTGATTTGGTAGGACATCGGGTGGTCGCCTCGAAGATTTCGGGTCGCCGACTCCTGGAGTCTTGGCGAACTGTCTCCCGATGCAGGTTCATCGAATCCACCGAAAGGACCCATGCGACGCGCTTGCCGCCCCATGTCATCCAGGCGACCCATGCAGTTCATGGCTATGCCGGAAGTCCCTACGCTTTAAACGCTGAGTGCCTCGGAACCGCGTTTCGGCCGTGCCTCCCGGATGGTTCGTGTGTGATCTTTCACCAGATTTGCACGAGCAAACATACTACTGTATGGATCATAATTGTAAGGGGCTGATCCCATTGGTCCTTACAACTACAAAGCCTGGCCAATGGACTTAGACATTTGTACAGCTATAAACCAATGGTTCCAAATCTCCAAGCTGTGTAGGGCCCAAGCTCTGTTTCCTTAGGCCTATTGGTTAAAACCTGATGACATGTATCAATGATTTTTAAAGATGTTGACCCACATTACGAACATGACAGTAAAGAACATAAATGATATATATATATATATATGTTGCTATTTTCATTTTCATAAGACACAAGACACTAAACCTGCAAAATCAAATTACAGTGTTCTAGCCCAGATGTGTCTTTTGTCTTTAGGGATTGTTTGAGTTCCTGGAAACAACTATGTCAACTCAATAATGTTTATTTACTGTTGAGATTCATCATTTAGGATTTCTCTCTAGAACGCCTTTTTTGTTTGTACAGGAAATTACATGTACTGTAAGAGATGATATAGTCGTATTTAAATTAAGAAGACATACACGCCCTTATTCTATCATATTTCATCATAGTTTATGTAATTCTTTTCTTTTTAGCAAAGACATATCTGGGTTCTGATTAATGCTGTTCATTGACCCTTTTTCCAACATCAGAATTCTCCAGCTACAACCGTGTCACATCTGAACATCTACGAACACAAGTGAGCCAACAAACATAACATACAAGATCATGAATCCCCTTTTTGGCATTCAACTATTCAGCATTGTTTGGGTCACTTATTGGCAGATCCGGAGGTGGACATGTCGGAAGAGGGTGTCAGCAGGTCTGGCCCAACTCCTCGATCTTCGGGTCCATTTCATCACCTGAGATCCCTCCAGTCCCCCTGTGGTGTGGCGAAAGGCGGCCAGTGCCATCTGCCAGTCCTCTGAGGCACCTGGGAGGGAAACTTCCCACAGATTCGACGGCAAGTGCCGGTCACTTGGTCAGACAGGATCTCCAACAGGTTGTGCAAGTTCAGGGCATTTCAGGGGAGACACGAGGAGCCACAGCCGAAGGCTTCCGCCCAAAGAAATTTGGAGATAGGAGCGGGGTGGCAGAAAGCCCAAAAAGAGATCCCGTTCGGAGAGGATTCCTCGTCCTTTGAGGCATGTTGTCCAAACGTGCTGCGAATTCTCCAACGACAGAGTTTGACCCAGCCTCCCAAAGGAAGCACCGATTTTGGGCCGAAGGCAGCGGTGTTGTGCGCCGAGTCTCTCGTAGGCCCAATGCGGGGATCCGTTTTGGTCGTTTGGGCTGGCCGGTCCCTTGGCGTTTTGGTCCGCCTTTGAGGCAGCAGAACGAGCACTTCAGACTCGTCGCTTCGGCTGGGCACGGCGGTCAGGTCGGGAGCCCGATGTTATTTTTTTCTACTTTTATCAGATAGTCTGAGGGGCATCGTTATTAGGTTGGAGGCCATCGCGCCTAGGATGGAGGCCATCCCTATTAGGTTAGAGGCCATCGCTTCTCGGATGGAGGCCATTCCTATGAGGTTCGGTGGATTTTGCCTTTTAGGTTGAGATCCCCCAAGAATGAGACGTCCCCCGTCCCCAAACAAAAGCCAAGAGGGAGAAGCGGATACCCGAAGTTAGGGGCTGCCGCCACGTGCACCTTTCGCCTCTTTCGCCACGGTGCCAGCACAGTCTCACGGCCACATGTTGGTTTGGAAGATGGGATAGGATGGCATCAAAACCACTTAGATAAGCATGAAACAACCAGGTTTGGCTTGGAACCTGACAGGGGTGCTTTGTTTTATCAATATGTTCACAGGATCCGGTATTGATTCTTGTATCTCATCTCCCGTTCGGCTAGTTTCAATGAACACGAAACGCTACACCCAGCCACCGAGGAATGGCAAAGCCCTCGTGTCACCGTGCAGCACTGCTGACCTCGATGCTCTAGAAGAGCTAGTACCTTGACAGACACGACGGACACTGCTTTTGGTATCCCTGAAACTGTAAGCTTCTCCAGTCCATAGCCTTTCGCACATTGCGAGCTTTGCGTTGAGGTGTATTTTAGACTCGGATTTTTGTTTGTTTTCCGACGTCTCGCGTTTGCGATTACTGTTGCGTCTTTCTACAAGTGTTGACAAGAAACACCTGTCGTAAAAACGGTTTTGGAGAGCCAGTATTTCGGAGTGAATTTGTACTTCTTGGATTCTTAGCAGTGGGATTTTTCCATGCAATCTTCCTAATTAGCTGCTTGCATTTCTGTTTCCAGTCGATGCTCCTAAAGTTCAGTCAGAACGGCTCCCACTTGCTGCACTGAGGAAGAACTGGAGGCCAGTGTGGAGGCGGTGAGCAAAGAGGTAGAAGAATGGAGGCCGAACGGAAGACATGCTTGGAGTTCTGAATGGTGTGTGTGGCCTCCTTGGCCAAGTAGTTCAAGAGGACAGTAAGGGTCCTTTCTCTCGGGAAGGGATTTGGAACCCTCGAATCTGGATCGACTCGTTTCGAACATGAACGACTTGCTCTGGTGGGGTTCTCCCCATCCGAGCGACCCGCATGCGACCCTGCAGGCCGAGTAGCTTTGAATTCCAACGGACGTTACAGATGGCGGGCCGTAATCAAGGCCGGCGAACGACACGAGCGTGGCAGGGTGGTGCGGAAACATACTGTGAGGTGTGGTGCAATCTAGAAGTGTTTCTCAAAGGCCTGCCAGAATCCGCAATAGATCGCCATACTGTACACAGCATAGACTCGCTTATTCTACATGAAAAAGGATAGCACAGAAGAGAAGCAGCCCCTGATCAGAGTTTCAAGCGTTGTCGTTTCGGACCTCCCAAAAGAAGATCCAAACGGATGCATCATTCCATCCACGTTGGTTCGCCAGCAGCTTGTCCGGCGTCCGGCTCTCTGGAGGTGCTGTAAATCTAATGAAGTGCCTTGAGACTGGAAAATTTGTGGCGGTCAAGGCAATGCCACAGTCCTGGACCACCCTCGGCTGCTTGGTGAGACGTTTCTTTGTCGTCCTGGACAGTGAGGCAATCAGATCCATACGTAGATCTTTACTCATCTTTTCTCCCTTTGGAAGATTCCGTCAGAGTTGGGGGGAGGATGGCTTCGGTGGCAGGCGCTCGGTTTCGGTGGCTCGATTTCGGTGAAGCACGGTGCTGAGCACATTTGCACGACATTTCATCCATTTCGGGGCCCTTGAGGGTCGGAAGTAGCCCTTTTTCCTTCTCCTCAGTGGCGCATCGATTGGAACGTGTTCCATTTTCGCTTCAAGATGGCTCCAAACTGGAGCCTTAGGCTGTCCAGCTTCCAGGGGGTTCTTTGGATCCTTTGGATCTACCTCTTCAGGCCGGGACGTCGAGAGTGTCGGACGACCCGGCTTTGATCGACACAACAGCAGATGTTTCCACTGAGGCCACCAAGAACATCGTAGAGCTCACCCCAGGGATACCGAGAATCCCTGGATGGATCTAGGATTAGCCGCATGGCGACCATGCGGATGGAGCCGTTGGAGTTGTGCTTCGAGTCAACTCGGAAGCGATGCCAAAGACTTATCAAAGCCTTGGATAGATCTAACATTTCTATACTTAAACCGACTTAAACCATTTTTCTTTTGAAGTGTATGAGATGCTCTTTGTTTTTTGTGAATTGGAACCAGCAGACTTCAACATTTCAGATGTCTCTTTTGCTTGTCAATCCCCAGCGAAGAGTCCACCCCAAAGAAAAACGCAGCTCCCTGACTCGCTGGACACCACGGACACAACTGAACCGACCAGAAGCAACCGAAGCGAAAGTGACGAGGGCAAAACGCACCAAAAGCGACGTCACAAGCCAAACTGAAACGACCACGACTTCCAAGTGACGTTCGACTTCCAAGCCGTAGCAAGGGACCAGTTAAGACCAAGTCAAGGTGGCACTTCATAGCAAGCGTTCCACACCCGACATAAAGCTACACCTAGACAGAACATCATCGTTGAAGCAACGATGCACAGATATACCGCTGGTTTCTTTGGCCAGCGCAAGGGACCAAATGTGCAGAGAGTCATCCTTCTTCAGCATTTTGCAGCCTTGCTCCAACCAGCCAAGGTTCGATATTTGAGCAAGACACACGGATGCATTTGAAGTTGTGCAGCTTGAAACTGGACATTTCGATCAGACGCGAAAAGAACGCTTTTGGATCGGCAAACCTCCGACTGGAGGGGCTGGAGGCCAGAAGAAAGGTCACTCCTCGGTCTTTGAAGAAGTAGCTGGAGCTTTTACTCGCGAGTGACACGACTGGCTCTCCCTGCATGCAGCTGGAGTGGGAGCCTTTTCCGTGCTCTGTTTTTTTGTTTCAGGAAAGGGGTGCCTTTCATTTGCGACCCGTTGGGCATCTTCATGGACAGTCAGAAGCTGAGGGTGGGATGGAGGTGGACCACGGAGTGACCCGAGGTCGACAACTGGTGGTCACTGAGAGAACCAGTGGAATCAGTCACTATTTCCCACGATGTTGTAGGCCGAACTCCCCTCAAAGAAGAAGCAAACGCAGATTCCAAGGACGAAACTGGGAATCATAGAACAAAATAGAACGATTGGAAACGCGGAACTTGTTTTTTTGGCATGTCAAACTTGGCATTATTGATGCACATACACATGCACAGGTCTAAATGTGACTGATAAGGGTCCTACGATCAGTGCTCAGATTGAGTGCAAAACGACCGCGTTCTGGAACTAACCTGGGTTGTTAGTGAGTGCTTCTCAAACTCAAACCAACATCTGTGGATGTGATACTCTTGTTCTACCAGCAACACGGAAAAGTATTGTTCTTGGAAGGAAAGTCCCTAATTTTCGGGGTGTCCCAAACCACCCGAACTCGGTGCGCTCGTAGATTCTAGTTACCTCCGTGGGTGCTGCATGTTTTTCGCTTCCAGCTCTGCACCTGCCTGCGGCTGAGGCAGTTGGACGTACTGTGTCTCCAGCCTCGCCACGGAAGGCGGTCGCTGGGGATGGGAGCCAAGATGGTGGCAGCGGTGTCTGGTCATGTCTGGGAAGCGGTGTTTTGAGCTAATAGCAATGGCCTCCAGCCTCCTAGCGATGGCCTCCAACCTAATAGCAATGAGAAGCGGTGTTTTGAGCTATTTTGAGATTGCTATAGACTTAGACTTCACACGTTTCAATAAGGAGTGGTTGATCCTTGATTGGACCATAGTTTTCACAAGACCGTTGTGGGCCGGTCTTACGTAAAACATCGTAAAACCACTTGCAAGTTTTGCTGATCTAGAGAACATGGAACTTTGGCACCAAAGACTCAATAAACCATCCATTGGAGGAACCGACCTCTTCTATTGTAGTGATCGAGATGAGCAAAGAACAGAACCTTTCATCAACTATGAACATGTCCCCGAATGCTTTCTGGTTTGTTGCTCTTCGACGCTTTCTCCCGTGGCTTGCTTTAAGATTGTACTTTGGGTGCAGGCGATGATGCTAGTGTTCCATTGCTTGAACGTGTGTGCGTTCTAGAAGGGTCGATACTCCATGGCGCATGCTTTACTGTCTTTTCTCTGCAAGCCATGACTCTGACTACTTACCTGGTCCACAGACATGTGCGCCAAATGCCGGCTTTGCTGCATCAGGGGACTTCTTCTGTTTCGTCTCCCAGGGTAAAGATCCGGGCCCAGAGCGAGAGAAGGCGGGAGAGAGTAGCTGGGTCACCGCAGAAGGGAGGAGAGACTGTAGCTGGGTCACCGTTGATGTTTATGGGATGGCTGGGAGGCCTAAGTCGCAGATTTTGAAGAATGGGAAGCTCCAGAAGTGCGGGGATATGCGAGGTTTCTTTTGGTTATTTTTGTGGGGCAGGGATGGTTATCTCCCCGGGTATGACTACAAGACGTGGATGGTGGTTCGGTTACCACAGTCTTGCCTTTGTAGGGGTCAATCCTTTTTTTGGACAGGAGTGGTGGGGATGTTCGGCCGGTTCTTCCAAAGACATTTATATACATTATATACCCTGAGGCCCTGTTGACCCTTTCGCAGGGTCTTTCAATTTGGAGCTCAAGCTCCTGCCAACGTCGGCGGTGATTCATTGGCATGTTCTGCAGGGCTCCTCTAGTTACTCTAGTTCACCACATTGGAAGAGGGATGAAGAGGGGAATTTGGCTTGAAATCGAGACTCTAGGTTCCTGAGCAGCCTCTCGTCAGTGTGACCTAGCATGATCCTTGAAAAGGTGACCCAAATGGAGCACCAGTGCAGCGCCAGCACTGTCCCAAACGCCCCAAAAAAGCGACACACGAAAAACCGCTGAAGAAAAGACGACGCACGACGCACGAAGTCGACATCTTCGCAGGAACTCCAACCCTTCATCGTCCAGTAACTTGGACGGCGGTCGGAAGCCAGGTTGGAGGCCATCGCTACTAGGGTGGAGACCATTGCTAGTAGGTTGGAGGCCATCGCTAGTATTGGGGGAAGGAAAACATGCTGGTGGAAGTTCCGTGTCGCTGAAGGTTACATTGTTGTATCTAGTCTGTTGCACAGTGTGTGGCCAAATTCCGTTTGTGATGTCGCTGTGCCGTGCTCTGTTTTGCGCGGCCACGGTGGAGAGTGCGTTTGCTTGAGTCCGTGATTGGGGGAAGGAAAGGGGGATGATTGGCAGTGTCTACGAGTCATATCGTACTGCACCCATAGCAACAATTCTAGAAACCCGCGAGGTGCACGTGTAGCATTTGGCAGCGTGCATGCAAGTGCAGCTTTATATACAGCTCTCAAATGTAGCTATGCACATCTCTTACTACGCACGCCCTCATCTACATTACTGGGATCTTACATCGGCAGCTTTTGCGAGTATCTTGCTTGAGTAGGCACGAACACACATTGGACTACATTGTCGTTGGAATCTTGCTGTAGTAAACTGATAGAGTGATACGTCGGGAAGGTGCGGTGTGAGACGGAGGCGAGAAAGGTATTTGAGTTGTGTTGTTTAAACTTATTCCCGGCAGTGCTGCGAAGGCTCTTCTGTAGAAACTTTTTGTAACACATCTGCGTCAATACATTTGGGAGCTATCTTTCTGGCTGTTTCTTTCCAATCTTACATGGCTGCATTGGTATGAATGCTATAAGCTACATCTGCAGCAGCTTGCAGTGGTTTTCTACCAGACATTTGGGACTTTTACAGCTGCAGTTGTATGTATGCTATAAGTGCATCTGCAGCTTGCGTGCGTGGTCTTCTAGACTTGCTGAGGAGGTAGTACATTTGCAACTTATACAGCTGCAGTTGTATGTATGCCTATGCTACAATAGGTATGCTACAAGTACATTTGCAGCTTGCAGGTATGGTTGATGTGGTATTTTCTCAAAGAAGATTGACAACGGTTACGGTACTGTATACCGTTTCGCAGGTCCTGAAATCGATCACGTGTAGGCACCAAAAATACGTAGCACAATTGCGCATTCAAGATTTTCATGGACTACGTGGGTCCCTTCTGGAACATGCACCATGTCTTAGCAACACTGCGCACTGGTCACTGGTCAGCCTGTGGAGCTGGGGGTGTTGCTCGTGGAGCACCACCAGAATTGACGCCAAGGATTTTCTCCGCGTTACGGTGGCTGCATGAACGTTACATTGCTCACTGTGATATCTCCATGGAGAACATCCTGGTAACCAAGGAGCTCGGGTGGTTTCCTAAGTCAGGCGGTTTTTCTGTTTCTTGAAGTGGATGATCATGAGGAGACGTGGACTAGAGGATTCGATTCAATTGGCCTTTCTTCTTGAGTCGAAACAGTTTGGCCGTGTTTTTGAATGTTTGTCCGATGCCAACTCTCAACACCAGACAGAAGCCGTTCAATATCATAAAGGCCTAGTGTGATCCCGTCGAAAGAATGCAGACAGAAAAACCCATGAGGTCGGTTCCCTTTCATCATCTCCGTTGGTCTGCACGATGTCTTTGGAGAAGCACCTGAAAACCGTTGAGAACCCGTCAGACTCTCTTCATGTCGCTTCTTGCTGGCCAGGAGTCCGATGGGAGATACCAGGCCGCTTGGGGAGATGCCAGTTGATGGCTGGAGCTTTATGTGCACGGATTGATGACTCTGGGAGATGGGAAACAAGGCATCAGTGAGGAAAACCATCTCTCATGTGATCCGCTTCTTTGCGATGGTTCAGCTGGAGTTGCTGGTTGGAAGCAGGTTCGTGGGATGAACAGCAGGTCCGATTCTGTCCCGAAAGAAACCTGGACAGCCCTGCCAGGTGAAGCTGATCGATTTTAGCATGGCTGTGCCAGGGCAAAGGGTCACTTGTGGACATCGAGGCAAGCCTTCCTATCAGGCTCCAGCCGAAGCGCATGCGGTGCCAGCAGGGTGTTGGACGAGTTCCCGAGGTTCTGTTTCTTCCGGTTCAAACACGCACCGACACGGATGATAAGAAATACGTTTCTTCCATCGCGGTGCAGTCTTTGTCTGTTTTCTTTTCCCTATCATGACGCGAATCGCCACAGTGACCGGAGAATGGCGGAGAATGTGGGCTTTGGAGCCCTGGAAAGCTGCGGTTGGCCGTTCGTTTGCGGATTCCTCAGTAGAACAAAGACATTCTTCAAGGCGTCATTTTTCTCTTGAGATCTTAAACAGGTGGGTTGGTGGTCTTTTTTGGAAGAAACGGTCAAGCTGGACCAAGCTGCCTGTCAGGCACCAGAAATGGCTTTGTCCGCCTTTTATGACTCCTTTGCCCTGGATTGCTTTGCACTTGGCGTTGTCGGGATTCACAGTGGGCATTTTGTCGTCCTTGTCGTACCGGTCCGTTGGCGCGATCGAAGTGTGATGTGAATCGCAAGGATCTCTTTGTGAGCGAAGGAAGATGTACCTCTTGGGCTTGAGTGTGTGGAAGGGTTGGGTTCCGCGGATTTCTACCTCTCAAATGATTTCTTTTTTCTGAGTCTCCTGTGCTGCCTGAGGTCTTGTTCAGCAGTGCTGCCCGGATTTATCCGTGGATGTCCACTGTGCAAGGCCGTTGCAAGTGCTTTGATGCTGGGCGAGAATGATGTGGCCTCTTGATGAATAACACCCCCAAAGTAGGATTGGAAAGCCTCTTCAGGCTTGGGGGTTGAAATATCATCAAGAGTGCACATGAATTGTTTGGCGACAACATCAGCTCAAACAGATTCAAACTGTTTGTTATATATGGAACTGGGCTGGAAGTTGGTTTTGAGCACTCTGGCTATCCAAAATAGCAGCGATGGGCGATGGATTGGGGAAAAGGACATTTGACGGTTTTGTTGAGTACCATTGCAGAGACCCGTTCTTGGATAGTGGAGAGATTTGGGCTACTTTGGGGACCCAGAGGAGGATACCTACCTAACAGATCCTAGCCGATATTCTTTGCTTCAACAGCTCTCCCTGTTGTTTATCCCGTGCCCTGCAGATCAAACCATGGAAGAGTGTTTCCATCGGACTGGGGAAGTCAACTTTTCCGTTCTCGATCGATGCGCGAGACTCAGCGGTATGGCGATGAAGCAAAGCGGTTTGGCTCGGTTGGAGCAAAGCCGTTTGGCCGGCCGAGGATTATGTGCTTGAACATGGCCATAGGAAATTCTGGAGGACACGCTGCTTGGACAGTGGAAGTATGAGTAGGGGTGACTGTGAGAGCCATTCAAAATAGTGCCAGTTCTGGATGTGACCTCTACTGATGGTTCTTGGTGGTATGACTTAGGATTCAGCTATATTCAGCTTATTTTTAGCAGCTCATGTTTGTTTCAGTAGCGAAGAGTGAAAGATCAATCCTTCTGGGTACAAGTACAAGGAAGTCATCGATCACTAGCAGGATTTTCCTGCACCCTCTATCCAACAAGCATTCAAGTGGAGTTCACCTCGGTATCCGGAGCCCATCGTCTTCATGTATTTATATCATTCACTTCGGACATTGGATAGAGGTTCCAGGAACATCCCAAGCGAGGAAGATCCGGAGTCCATGATCCCCAAAAGAACCTCCCAGCCTGCAGGCGCTTCCGACCTCCTGGCACCCTTCAGGCCCCTTTCAGGCCGAACTTCTTTTGCTTGGGAAGGAACTGAACAATCCGCCCAACACGGCACCAATGTGGCTACAGCATGTGACACGAGTGAAATGTGTGGACACTTCCGCTCTGCCTCTGTGGCACGGGGAGAGGCTGAGGTAAAATCAAGAAGACTCCCCCTGTGCAGAGCATCAACGACGTTCTGAGCGAGGAGACGAGCGGGTCTCCGACGCTGAAGACCTCGGTGGGCTGGAAGACCTCGGTGGGGGCACGTCGCTGGGGTCATGGCCTTTGGGGTATAGGTTGGACCGATGCCTTTCATGATTGGTTGGTTGATGATTGGTTTAAAGCTTCAAGTCTACAATCACTGGGTCAATTATATGGTACCAGATCAACCCTCGATTGTTCCCAAGGTCGGACATCATCCGTTTGACCAATGTTTTCATGATTTTTATATTTTCTCATGGCCACACATGGCTTCGGGTCTCTCATGGTCTCTTTATGGGGCTTCCAAGCAACGCCTGCAACGATTAACACAGAAGCTTTCCGATTTCCCTCCTAGCGCTCAACGCCCCCCTCCAGCCAAATCACATCAAGCTTTCGGCTGGAACACTTCGCAACGATGACCCTTTCTTTTGGCTCAGCCTGGAGCGCTCCAGGAGCTGAAGCAGATCTTGGAAGGCTTGTTAGCCTTTAGCCCTTCGGCCCCTCGGCGCCGAGTTACAGATCTTCGTCGTCTCGGTTCGGTCACCGATCGGTCTCGGTTCGGATGTAGCCGATCGATAGGCGCAGGAATGTTGCTGAGACTGGCGATGGCCTCCAACCTACTAGCGATGACCTCCAAGTATAGAGAGATGGTTCAATTCAATGAATCGTTTGAAGACGTTTAGGGCTGTGAACAAAGTGCGTAGTCATGCCCAATGGGTAGCTGTCGGAGCAATGTCCCTCCATCCACCAGCCCCCAAAAGAATAACAGATGCAAAACATCGGGAAACTGATTTGCCTGCCCAGGATCTGTCCAGGAATGTGCTGGTCGTGCTAAGTGCTATGAAAACTTAAGAAAGTTTCAAGCATTCTTTGTCCGGTTCTGTCCGGGTTTGAAGGGACCCTTTTCCGCCCCAAAAGGCCTAAAAGCCTTGGGCGGTGTTTGCGCTCATGAAAGATGGTGACCCTGAAATTCTTCGCCACTAAGAGAGCGACACGTCTAAGAGAGCGACTCGTCACTCGGTCAGCAGGAGCTGCCTCGCTTGGCCGGCTCAGGACCGCTTCTCCTTAGAGGAAGTCTTTAGCTATGGATGGTTCCAGGGGAGTGGCCCCTCGTCCAAAGGCCGAACCACACGTGGCACGGTGTGGAGCCAGCCTGCACCGGGCCGTCGCCGGCGACCAGGGCGGTTCCCGTCGACCGGGAGTGTTCCGTTGCGCGCGGGCGTGACCGGCGAATGGGGGGCGAGACGGAAGGATTTGGTTGAGATCCGGCTCTGACAGAAACGCCCAAAGCTGGATGGAAGTTTGATCGGAATCAGGGGGCCCTTTCCATGAACCAGCGAGGAATTTGTCTTGCTGACTTGAGTGTGCTTCCTTGCAGCAGTCAAGTGAATATGTCTGAATGCTTGAGTCGCTACCACTGAGTGGAGGATCATTTTTGTTTGTTGGACATTGTGGAAGCAGAAGGGATCCACCTAGAACCGCAACGATATGATATGAGACATCTTGAGCCGTTGAAGCTTTTAAAAGGTATTTTCAGCCGAAATAAGGTTGCTGAAGTTCTCAAGTGCGTCATTCTGATTTTTTCTCAGACCTGTAGGCTGGCGGCCACTGGCGGCCACTGGCCGCTTTCGAGTCGATCCCGACCCAGGGCTTTCCTGGCAGAAAACCACAACCTTTGACTATTGTTGACAAACTTCGCACCACGAACCGCCGAGGAGTTGTGTTGGAGACCTCCTTTGGAACTCATTCCGGCTGAAACCCAATTCGCCAAGGCAGGCCGAGCGCGGACGGGATCCCACCGTTTTCAGGCGCCCCACACACCGAAAGACCAGGTGTCAGATCAGCGAGGCGTTCTTTTCGGGCATAGAAGAACGAGAAGTGAGAAGAGTTCGGAAAATGAAGGACTGAGAATGTACTGTAAAAAGAAGACAACTTGAAGGAAGGATGGACCGTGGTGTTGGACACAAAGACCAAGAGCCCATTGGAGGCCCGAGGTGGCGGAGGTTGCTTTGGCTTCATCTTGAGTTAATTCATGACTTCCACGATACGAGTTAGGTTGGAGGCCATCGCTAGTAGGTTGGAGGCTCTGTTTTTGAATGAGCGCTACCTAGGAATTAAGGCCGTGGCCGACCCGTGACCCGGAATGAAGGCTGATTCTCAAGTAGAGGGCTTGTCGGACGACAAAGCACATGTAACTTCTCTCATGGTGTGATGCGGTCTTCGCCCCACTTCTAAACTTGTGAGAAGCGGATCGGCGTTGCGCGAAGATTCGGTCTGCATGGGAAGATTCGGTCATCAGCTCTCAGCTCTGCTCCGCTCAGGCATCACGCGGCTCTGCCGTGCTGCTTTTCAAGCGGCGAGCTGCACGATAGACCTAGGGGCAGTGTTCGGATGAGAATCGCAGCGCTTTTGGTAAGAACACAGGTTGGATTACCCCTTGGCCAGGTGGCGACGTCACCTGAGAACGTCACATGAACATCTGGGGAGCGGAACATCTGAAGGCAACTCCCAATAACTGAATGGGTCATTTCCACGCGGAATTTGGGCGGTTTTCTTCCAAACGTGTACATTCACTGCGGCACAGTCGTTTTGGACCCAGTTTCTGGGGTTCATGCAGGCCACATCAGTTTGGTAGAGCCTTTCTCGACAGGTCCATTGTTTTCTCACTCGCCTCAATTGAAACAAGCGCAACCTTGCACGGCCGGGTGAGCCTAGTCCTGTGCCATTCTCATCTTGCTAAGCTGGCTGCCATGGGTTTTACCCTAAAACACGAGGCGGAGCCCAGGAGTGGTGAGACTGCGGAACAGCTCGTTCCAGCGTGGGAACAGCCCAGCCAACGGTCTTTTGGTCTGTTGAGGCTTTGGTCCAAGATCACTTGATTTGCCTGGACATGATCCCTGAATTGCATCTGCAGACACTTTGTATTGGTAGGCTTGCCTGGACGTGTGCGTTGAAATGGAACTTGCCTTCATCCTGCCTGTGGGCAGTGGGTTTTGTAGGACACCTTTAAGTGGCGTTCCAAATGCCCTTCGAGACACTTTGACTGGTGGGACTGAAAGAAGACCTTGAAAACTACCCTGCGCCCGGAGGTCTTTCCAAAAAGACGGCCACACCATCAACTCAGACGCCCGCAGGTTCCCACTCACCTGGGGATCAGCCCTGTTTTGCTGGCGGACACAGAGGATCTCATTTTTCAAGGACTGAGATGTCCTCGTTCCGCACGTAGCCTGCACAGACTGGTGCTGGCGGCGTGGTGCTACCACAGGACGGTGTTGGTCCGCGCTGGGCCAGGACGAAACCTTGACATTAACATTTACAGTACAGCATATTTATAATATAAAGACATAGAATAAATATACAAGATTCCCTCTCCAATACCCCGTATGTTCATCTGGTGATTTCTCACGCCATGTTTTAAGCCAAATAGTGACCCAATGTTGATGCTTACTTTTCTCATCCCCTTGGCTGACCGCAGGTGAAGATATATATATATATTGCAAAGGCATAAGGAACTGTGCTTTGATACTTAGATATATGATATGTCGTGATTATTCCATTTGGAAGGCTGGGATGGACTTGTACGGGTATTGTACGCGTACAAGCTTTTTAATCTACTATCATGGACCAGCACTTAGAATATGAAATCCTAAAATTTAGGAATTACATTTCCTAGTCAACTCAGTGGAGCCTGAGATAGAATATAGAACAGGCAGTCCAGTTAGAATATGGGAAACCACTCATGTAGAGTTCCAGGATTGAGTTGCACCCTACTCATGTACTGTAGAGTTCCCTTGTACTGTTAGTTCTTGCTGGTTGCACTTGCGCTTGCTGCTGTTGATGTGGTGTTGTTCTTTGTATATTCTAACTGCAGGTGTGTGTTCTAACTGCACCTCCGCAAACAATTAGATTTTTTTTTATACTATTACTGCATTATAATTCTTTTTTCAATTCTAACTGCTAGTCTATGAGTGTATATAGGATCTTAGATTCTGGGGGACTCAATATAAAATCGTAGATCCCAGATTGATGCCTCAATGCACGAATACTACAGGAGCGGAACCTTACACATGAGAGCACACATATGCAAGCGCGCACATGAGAACACCCCCACACCCCCACACACACCCCCACACACACACACACCCAGACGCACAGGGTCATTAGCCGATTCAGAAACCAACCGATCAGGCAACTACGATTCAGAAACCAAAACGGCCGATTCAGAAACCAAAACAGTCGATTCAGAAACCAAGTTAGACTGTTCAGAAACTAAGCCAAGATAATAGCGTTCCATGTGGATGCAAAGGGCTTTTACATTCAGTCAAGTAAGAAGTAGTGTGGACGGCAGGAGGAGTGTGGGGTGGGTGGGGGGGTGGGGGGGGGTGGGGGGGAAACCATGGCCAAGATAATACCGTTCCATGTGAATGCAAAGGGATTTTACATTCATTCATATATTCACTTGTATCAACAGCATCTGGCTGAACAGAGTGGAGGGCATGGCCAAGATAATACCTTACCATTCCATGTGGATGCAAAGGGCTTTTTCATTCATTCAAGTAAGAACTAGTTTGTCAACAGCATATGGCTGAACAGAGTGGAGGGTAGCAGGAGTGTGGGGCGGGGGGGGAATCATGGCCAAGATAATAACGTTCCATGTGGATGCAAAGGGCTTTCACATTCATTCAAGTGAGAATTCGTGGCGGACGGCAGGAGGAGTGGGGGGTGGGGGGGTGGGGGGGAATCATGGCCAAGATAATAACGTTTCTCCTGTTGCTTCGCGGAGAGATTTTGCATTGGTGGCACTACCACCACCTACCACTACTACTACGACGATGACGACGACAACGACGACGACGACGACTACTACTACCTACTAACTACTAACTACTAACTACTAACTACTAACTACTACTACTACTACTACTTACTACTTACTTCTTACTACTTACTACTTACTACATACTACATACTACATACTACTTACTACTACTACTACTACCACTAACTACCTACTACCTACTACCTACTACTTACTACGACTACTAACTACTAACTACTAACTACTAACTACTAACTACTAACTACTAACTACTTACTACTTACTACTTACTACTTACTACTTACTACTTACTAC